CTAGCCTGCTCGCCGAGCAAATGAACATAATTGGTTATTACTTATAGATCCAATCAATCATATTCGATTGCTCGGCAAGCGTACCTATAACTGAAGAGATGTATCATAGCTATACACCCATGATTATGCAGATGTTCGTGGATCATTGAAGTGCAGCAGTTTCCAGACAATTTCAGAAGTCAAGGATAGTAAATGGTGGTATGCAATCGGATGGGTGACACCGCTTCGAAGTACTAATGAAATTAGTTCCCGAATTCAGGGAAAAATTTTTTTTTTAATCATAATTTTATGATATGTATTCTGAAATAAGATATTAATCAATAATAATACTCATTTTAGCAATATAAGGTAGGTTTATTAATTTCCGTTTAATGTTACAATCTTACAAGGTCCTTGACACATTGTAGGAATATTAATACAACCTATCATGCAAGGTTTCTGGGATGTTAATGTAATCAGTTTGGACGATCATTTTCATGTTATTGGGAGGTTAATGATAGGTTTATTAATCTCCGTTTAATGTTACAATCTTACAATTTAAAATTACTGTAACCTTATTTCAATGTGATGTGCTGTGAGGGTGTAGAGTCATTCGCAGGGGTTGCCAAAACTGAAATCAAAAAACAAAGAACAATAAGGGCTAATGAGAGTTTTTTGCACGGTTGTTAGTGCGAAAATAAAAATCGTTTATTATCGAAATATAATATAAATTAGTTACGCATAAACGTTTCAGCCTGCTTCCGAGCTATCATCAGTATGTCTGAACGTATAATGTAAATTCTCACTTCTTCATGACAAGACGGTAGAATAGCAACTCAATCTTCTTATTCAATTGGTTGACCATTTCAGTGGCAACGAATAACAGATAAAAATTCATATAGCCATGAAAGACATGAACATCAAAAATCACTTAAATCGAGAGACAAAAGATCCGCAAATTATTCACAAACGAATATTGTGACGATCAACGTTCAAATGGACGTTTTTTTTTCCTGTAAAATAAGCCTCAAAATTTGGCTCCAAGGTGAAAGTATGAAATGAATTTTTCAAAGCAAAATTTTGTTTAAAAACTGATTCAGGGACGACCGAACCTGGAAAAATTAAAATTTTCCAAAACATATATGAAACATTCTCGGAATATGTAACGATATATAAACGGAATATTTTACCGATATTTGAATGTTGTAAATATTTTGGAATATTCCGGAATACTCTTGAAATGTTTTTAAGGATTTTACGAACCTTTTATAAATATTTCAGAAATATTTAGCATTAGCTGGGAATTTTCTATAATATTATTTCGTTATAGAATTCTCTGCTGGTCTGTACTTATGATATCATTCTGAATACGGATTATATTTTATCTAATCGCCACGCGCTAAAAAAATCAATTAAAGCTGTTGCAGCTGACACTACTGTACATATTATTGACATATTGAATATTTTATATATATTTTTATATGTTATATGATAAACATTTATTGATTTTTTAATATGTATTTATCAATACGCTAATAATAACGTATTATTATTGTAAACAAGTGAAAAAAAAATTTTTTTGATGTAGTATAGAAAATACATTTAATTAAACCGTAGAAAATAAGATAATTTTAAGCAAAAAATTTATTAATGTAAAACGTATATTACAATTAATTTTATCGTAATATACGTTAATCTCACGTTAATGTATTTAAGAATAAAGTAACAATATTTAATACTAGAAATTTAAAATGCCTATTACGGTCGAAGCCGGATCTTCGTTGCTTTTTAAATAATTCAATCTTGAATTACTAATATACACTATATACGTACTCGCATATATACTATATTGTAGTCTTTTCAAACTGCGCGCTGAATTGTTTTTCCGGACTAAACGCAATTAAAACTACTCTAGTAATCGCGAAATAAATTTACAAACAATTTTAATAATTTGATTTGCAAGTACATATATAGTGTATATTAGTAATTCAAGATTGAATAAGTAATAAATATGTTAAACAGGGACTCTCCCTTCTTAAAATAACAAAAACAACCTAAATAAGGGTCAGCGCGAACGAAGATGCGCAATAAATATTTCAATAATAATTTTGTTAATTCAAGATTGAATTATTTAAAGCAATGAAGATCCAGCTTCGACCATAATAGGCATTTTAAATTTCTAGTATTGATTGTGTTTCTCACATATATGATCTAAAATAAAGATTTTTTATATTGTTTAACAATATTTATTATTATTTAAAACTATTTATTCTAAAAACGCGCGTCTCTCATTCTTTTATCATTTGAGTAAGCCGCATACTTAAGTTTTTACTATACTGCCACTCCAGTTGCGTTGTTTACTTAGATGGCGTTAGCGCACAGCAAGTTTCGTCATTCCTAAATCCCGGACGTCATCCTCGGCAATGGGAAAGTTCATATGAATGAGATTTATTGATTTTTACCTGTGGGTTCAATCAATGTTTAAGGGCCACTTTCACCATCGTCCGTTTATTTAACCAGTTTAGTAACTGCAATGAAATAAAAAGAGATAGAACTATTTCTATCTCTTTCTATTTCATTACAGTACGGACATCATCCTCGGCAATGGGAAAGTTCATATGAATGAGATTTATTGATTTTTACCTGTGGGTTCAATCAATGTTTAGGCAAACAGATCCGCTTTGCCGATTTGAACTCGCTCATTTACACCCATTCGTTTCCTATTTGTCAAGGGATACGCTTGGATACGCACAAACAGATCCGCTTTGTTGATTTGAACTCGCTCATTTACACCCATTCGTTTCCTATTTGTCAAGGGATACGCTTGGATACGCTTCTGTGAAATCAGTGTAAAATCATTGCTGGTATTATGGATGTGTTCCGATATACACTGCCAGTACTGGCAGTACTGAAAACTTGTTCCGCTATTACTACGCAGCGCGCTGTGACAGCGTCTAGTTCCCTCAATGACGTTATAAATGATAGCCATATTGCCACTGCGACTACTGTGGCTTTCGAGGTGATACAGTCACAGTGCAATATGGCGTCGCTTAAAGAAGCACAACGCGTCGAAATATTCGATACAGGAAATAAAAAAATATATACATTATATTTAATTGCAGAAGATACACATATATATTCATTTTACCGAAAATGACTCTTAATTCCACATCTGAATATTTATTAGCTCTGTCTTCATATAGTTTTTAACACGAGGTCAAACTGCTTGAATTGGTGATCTCATAATCAGTACATCTTCTTCGGAAAAACTATCGCTGCTATTTTCGTTCAAAATTTATTGACAATTTAGTACGTTTATCCATGTCTGTGTTTACACTGCCAGTCTACTACAAAGTCGTTCCGAAATAGATGTTACAATAGTGCTGGCAGTACCACAGTAATTTTGGAACGGCTGCGGCAGTGCACTGTTGTGACGTTATAATGGGGAGGGCTCCGATTGCACACATCGCATATTGCACACATGTATCGCTGATTGGCCAATTTAAAAATAAAATAATCTCATTGGCAAAACAGTAAAAAATTACTAGGCACCAGTTGATATGAGCGGTGTGTACAATCAGAACTGTAGGCAAACGGGATCCTCCCTTATAATGATTGCACTGCCAGTAAAAAGGGAACACATCCTATTTCGGGTCCGCGCACAAAGATGGTCGCAACTGAGTCGTAGTCGTAAGTCGTTGTCGTAGGTCAACGCACAAGGATTTTACGTATGTCGTTTACGTATATCCTATTTCGTCAGTTGACGCAAACAACTGGCGCAATAGGATATACGTAAACGACATACGTAAAATCCTTGTGCGTTGACCTACGACAACGACTTACGACTACGACTCAGTTGCGACCATCTTTGTGCGCGGACCCTTCGTCGTATTGACGTATTGTTTCGCTTAGGAAGCTTGTTACGATTCTGAAAACGGAGTGAGCTTTACATAAGTGAGCAAATTCATTAGGTATGGAAGTTATAAATATTTTAGTAAATTCGCTATTACTTTTGTAATTTTCATCTTGTTTAGAAAACGATAATATGGCCCGGTCTCACCAATGACCAACTCCGATTAAGCTAATCAGTCGATTAAATTTCAGTATTGCCAACTACAGGTTTGTTCGCGTCGCATGTCGCATGCTCCAACATGCTCCTACTTCCTTCAACCGTAGCTCCTATTATGGGCCTTCTATAATAAGCCGCAAGTCAAAAGTTCTGAGCGATCTTAAGTCATAATCGGTGAAGTTGGCCATATTTTTATATTATGACTTAAGATCGCTCAGAACTTCTGACTTGCGGTTTATTGTAGAAGGCCCATTATAGGGTTTGTTCGCGTCGCATACTCCAATATGTTCCAATATGCTCCTACCATAGCTCCTACTCCAACGCGCTTGATAGAGTGAATAGGAGCTATGGTAGGAGTATGTTGGAACATGTTGGAGCATGCGACGCGAACAAACCTATACTCACTCAAGGCTATGTTCAGATTCCCATCCGAGTGCCACCCAGGTATCACTCTATCCTTGTTATTTATCGAACGTTAAACAAGGATGACATGATACCCGGAGAACACCAGGGTTGCATTCCAAAATTCAACTCTGTCAACTCGAGTATCATTTTATCCTTGTTGGTCACCGAATGTTGAATAAAAATAAAAAATACTCAGAGTTGACAGATTCAAGTTTTGGAACGCACCCCAGGGTGGGAATCTGAAATCTGAACACGAGTCAACGTGCTCGTTAGAGTGAGTAGGAGCTATGGTAGGAATCATAGGTTGGTATTCATAGTCGATTTTTATGCTGGATTCACACTGCATCCGATTTGCGTCGTACGACGCTCTGCAACCAATCAGAAAACAGGAAACGATGGATTTGGCTTCATATCATCGGAATTCTGTTTTCTGATTGGTTGAAGAGCGTCGAAAATCGGATACAGTGTAAATCCAGCATTATTTCAAGACCGTCTTAAGTAATGTCTTAAGACGCTAATGCAGCCCTCTGATTGGTTCGTGACTTCTTAAGACAATATTTAAGACGGTCTTGAATATAAGATCTGACTATGAATACCGGCCATAATTGAGTTTTATTTCAAGACCGTCTTAAGTAATATCTTAAGACGCTAATGCAGCCTTCTGATTGGTTTGTGATTTCTTAAGACGGTCTTGAATATAATAGCCCTTCTACAATAAGCCGCGCAAATCAGAAGTTCTAAGCGATCTTAAGTCATAATCGGTGAAGTTGGCCAATAGCCAACTTGAATGATTTGGTTAAGACTGGTTAAGATTTCTGACGTTCTAAGGTCGGAATCAGACCGGGTGATCCCGATTGACCACGTCTCAATTGGACACCACCAATCACAGCGACCGGTGCTTAGGAGCTTTGTAGTCTCAAGCGCTGTGAGTGGCTCGTATCAAATTGAGCCGTGTCCAACTGGGTGCTATCCGAATCAGACTACGCAATGAAGATTGAGATTAAAGATTAAAGATTGAAATCTTACCAATGAGGACAAAGAAATTATGGTTCCTTTTGTTCTGATTGGTCAAATTTCAATCTTTCAATCTTCAATCTCATTCTTCAATGCGTAGTCTGATTCCGGCCTAACTTGCGGCTTATTGTAGAAGGCCTATAAGATTTGACTATGAATACCGGCCTAAGAGATAGAAGATGTATATTTCTGTCCTGCTAAGTAATTACTTTTCTTCTTTCTGCGCATGTGACAATAAGAGGATAGAAGAGAATAGAAAGATATTTTTGTCCTTTAAGGTAAATTTTTACGGGCTGCTCAAACCGGCTGTTTCAGCGACAAAAAGAATCACGTGATCAAAATTGACGAATATCAAATGTCCATTTTGATCACGTGATCCTTTTTGTCGCAAAAATAGCCGGTTAGAGCAGCTCGTGAAAATTTACCTTTAGGTCCGTTTCCACCAACGCAGATCATCTTTAATCTCGGTTCAACTTACTCTTTGTCTTTTTTTAGTTCTAAAGATTAGAAAAAGACGAAGAGTAAGTTGAACCGAGATTAAAGTTAATCTATATTGGTGGAAATGGGCATTAGTCTTGCTCACAGCTCGACGTCTGTATTCCTTTTTCATTACTATAAGTTCTAAGTTCTATGGTAAGAACACGTTGGAGTATGCAAAAACCTTACAAGACTGAAAACATAACCTAATTATCTGGCGGCTGTAAAGAACAATGTGATAATAACAGCACGGGTCCTTATTAGTCGATAGTCGCAAATTTCTTCAATTGCGAAAAAGTTATACACACGTGAGTACTCGCCCCGCCAGAAAAGGATGTTTTCAAGTCTTGTAGTTGATAATAAAATTTAATCGGCCGATTAACTCAATCGGAGTTGGTGAGAGACCGGGCCTAAAGTTCTAAACAGTCCTAAATCGATCTTCTAGCATTCTGTACTGTTTTCTTTTGGTTGCATGCACTAGTGCATACTGAGTGCATGTTAAAGGATTTGTTTTTTATTGCTACACTTTCTGAACTAGTACACATAGTGCAATAAGTTGAAGTGAAACAAATGATCTGGAGCGTTATTATTTTATTTGCTGACAACGTATATTATTTGTTGAACTCTTGCGATAATTATAATCGGATCTGTTGCGGAGCGTTATTGTTTTATTTGCTGACGACGTGTGTGGCTAGTGTTCGTAATATTTTAACTTCTGATATTGTCTGTGGTACTGAGGAGGGTCTAATTTAAGACCGAACCGTGTCTATTATATTGTAACATATCAAAATACAAAATATTTTAACCACATCTGGCATTCGTGGTGTATGCCTTCTTAACTATATTGTTTTACAAATGGTCTGTTTTCTATTCCTGCACTAGACTGTTCTAGAATTCTCTTTCTCGCTTTAAACAAATATCAAACATATATCTATCTCACTTTAAGTTCCAAGAGTGTACACTAGTTCAGCCACAGAAAACAGACCTAAATATACATTTCACCGGTTCAGAGTGCAGCAATAAAAACAGATCTAAAGCTGTTGTACACCGATTTAAATTGCGTAGAAGTAAAATTCAAATATTTCGAATTATAAAATACAGATTTTACTTAATAGCTAAATAGCACAATAAAATGTATGGAGGATTTCATGCAGGTTTAATTCGTTTTTAATCCGTTTTTATACTTGTATTAAACATACATCTTTATGTCAATTTGTGTGCGACGATTTTAATATGCACTCAGTGGATACTAGTGCAGCAAATAGCGTTTTTCATTGGCAGAACTGGTGCGCACTCAGTGCAAGTTAAAATTGTTGTACACTACCCTAATCTGAATGTAAAAGTGAGATATCTCAATTAATAAAATACCCAATGTTTATTTTAATCAAATACCACAATAAAATATATTGAGGATTTCGTGGTTTAATTCATTTCTATATTTTTATTAAATGTACATCTTTACGTCGATTTTTGTACGACTTTAAAATGCACTGAGTGCGTACTAGCTCTGCCAGTGAAAAACGCTAAAAGAGTAAACGCTATAGGTACCTATCACTGAAACGTAACTCGTGTTTACAGATATTGCCATATCTTCTAGCAGAAGATCCTCAGCGACCAGAGTCGATTGGTACACTGTCACTTACAACTGTTGACAATGTCGTCTGACATGATTGATGAGACCGTTGAGTTAGACCCAGTGACTGGGTTATACTGCACGATGTCTTTGTTTACCAATGTTACAAATACCGCTGAACTACACAAGAAACTCATTACCGAGGAGCTTGATTGTTGCATGGTAAATGTTGCAACTATTGTAGACACTTTTCAGACGGTGGTGGCTGCCAATAAAGCCGCCCTCAACGCTACGCGAAATCAACTGGTTACAAAAAACATAAATACGGAAGTCTTATTTAGCATGTCTTTGTCGGATAGCATAGCTTGTGCCTTGGATGAGTTTGGTCTTAGTGACGACATTAAAAATCTCCTGGTGATAGTGATACACAAGGACGGTGAGGAAAAAGCCATGCTGGAGAAGATTTCAGAAAATGTTAAGGGAGACAAAGTATCCATCTCAAACCTGAAGAAGTTTACAGATGAAAATCGTGTTAAAGGAACTTACGCCATCACCGTTATCGAACAGCAGAATTCTAATATTCTTGATATTATTGTTTCAAAGATTAGTGGCTCTACATTATTTCCACCGAAGAATCGAAATAAGGGAAGGCGTATATCATATGAACGATATGAACAGAAGAGTTGACAATATGCTGATACAGAATAGTTATTATATTTATTAATAATAAGAAAAATTTTATTTGGAATATAATTTAAGTAAACAGTGGATATGTATAATATATGTGAACAACCCACATGCTTTAATTTCTTTTTATCAATTAATTATGTACCCTGCTAATCCACACACACATATATATATATACAACAATAACTAATTTTTTAAATGAATTATTTCGCAAAATATTACATATGTTTCCCATACCAATAACAATTTAATATTTGTGAAAAAATATGTATATAATATATATGGAAAATATATATGATCAGCAATTAGATCCATACGATTTTGATTTTTCTAATACCAAAATATTGACGCAAATTTCTAATATTGTAGCATCATTAGGCTTGACTGAACTTTTGAACTCATGATTCTGTTATTAAAACAATTCCCTCATCATCTCTTCATCATATTCTTCGACATCTTCTCTGCAAACATATAAAAAATTCATAGTAAATATCATTGATCTGTTAGAACTAATTTATAAGTCAGAACTTCACAGAACATTCTGCTAGGATTAATATTTAGGCCATCTAAATCAGATTATTGCAAACTGGCTGCAGATAAAAAAAAAAGTGTATCATGGGGAGAAGCTTGGTAAGGAAGGAAATATGTCAGTTGGAAAATACTTGTGTGGTATTTTTTTTCTTCCTTTTTTTTATTCACTCATAAATAAGGCCAAAGATGCGTAGAAAACAATCGTTATATCCGCGAGGACACGTTACGCGTCAGATCCTGCGGAAGCGAAGTAGTAGATTCAAAGACAGCACCCCTTAAACGCACACTGAATTCGTCGTTAGTGCTTTAACAGTTTATTACGAGTACCTTGGCAGATTGCACATCTCGCAAACTGCTAAATCCGCGGCATTGAGAAAAGTGCAATGAGAACAGGTCCAGAGAGCTTGGTCGGGTGGTGGATTCGCGATCGGCTCGGTACCGACGCCTATTCCTCCACTGCCCTCCGCGGTTACGGAAGGCAATGTCCTTGAGCTGTTACCGAAAGACGACATTTGCGGAGGACGCGACGACGTGGAGGTCACGGATATCAGTTGCTCCACCGTCGCCCAATGCTCCGATTGGGCCCACTCCAATGCTTTTTGCTTATCCTTGTTGCGGATAGCTTCGAGCAGTGGCAACATATGGTCCTGTAAAATAAAATACATATTTGTTAATAATTATCGACAATTATTGGAGCGTTATATAGCAGAGCTCAATAGTAGAGCAGTTGTTTTAAACAAAAGACTCAAATTCAATTCCAAACGTGCCTTTTCATACGCTTAACGCTCATTTTTAGCATCAAAAAAGATCACGTGATAAAAATTGAATATCAAAAATAAATTTTAATCAATTGACCTGTTTTGTCGCTAAAAATGAGCATCGAGCGTTAGCATGAAAAAGTATTTTTAGTCTATTATATACGTATGTACAAGAAAATCTTGAGTATAAAAATTTCACTGTAACAAAAATATGAATAAGTAATCGAGATAATTAAATAATAAATTGAAGTAACTGAATATATTGCTATACTTTATAGATAGAAAAATCTCTCTTAAAGCAAGAAAGTCATACCTTCATTGGATACATGTCCATAGTAGCGATGAAAAGAAGCAAGTGAAAATCAGAAGTTGCCTCCAGAAATTGATCGCTGTTAAATTGCTGCATGTAAGTGCACAATGAATTGAATTCCTGAACTTGTCCATCGACCTGCCTGAAATAAAGATGTTTATATATGAATAACTTTATTAACTGTATTCATTTATGTACAATATGTATTTGTCTGTAATACCTGTTCTCCACTGGAAATGGAGTAATGTTATCATCCGTGAAAAAGGTGAACTGTGGAGTAAGAGGGGTGGACGCAGGTACATCTACCAATAAATATTCTACTGGCAAAGGTCTTGCTAGTCTTGTTACCTCGTTTCCATACGTATCTTTCTCCTAAAGAAAAAAAAAAACACGTCCACGTTGTAAAAATCATATTCAATACTGTTTCAATGAATAAAAGAATCACACAGAAAACAGCATATATATTTATCTCTAAGTAAATAAGGCGTTTTATTAGGAATACAATTTTGATCTCTAATATAGATGAGTAGCCTCCTTTTTCTTTATTAACTTTTGCAGTTTAGAATTTAATGCTTTCAATTATCTATGTATTAGAAGGTCAATTGTGTATCTAGAATAAGATAAAAATGATAAAAGTGAGCGAACTTATGAGAATATTAATTTTATTGATTAACATAGAGTAAATCTGCTCACTCTTGTACCTCATTTCACCTCATTTCAAGAAACACAAGCGACTTCCTGATGATGGAGTCATTAAAGGAGGATGTTAAAAAGAGGCCGATTTTTGCTCATAAAGGTGTAAGTAAAAGGAATAGCGTTTTTTTATAGATTTTGACTTCCTGAATACGATAATGTTAATAAAAAGTTCGGGATTGATAGGGAACACCTTGAAAATAGAGCATGAACATGATATATTTCAACAAATTTCAATATTCTTATACGTACTTTTCAAAGTGTTTTCCGAATGTCACGAACTTTTTGATAATTTAAAAAAATCTGCCCTTTTTGGAGGATATTAAAAAAAATCCGATTTTTGTCTAAAAGAATATAAGTAAAAGAAATAATGTTTTTTGATTTTGACTTCCTGAATATGATAAAATTATTAAATCGTAACATTTGGGGAACACCTTGAAAAGTAAGTAAGAATATTGAAATTTGTTCAAATATATCATGTTCATATCTTTATGGGCAAAAATCGGCCTCTCTCTTTTTAACATCCTCCTTAGACTACTTGTTGAGAAAATTATTTGGTGGATTATCGCGCATAATAATTTAATTATATTTGTCCCCGTAAATATTTGTCGCGGCTTGCATTCCCGCTATAAAGGCAAGTCCACAATCCTCCACGATACGGCGCGAGGACGCACGCACGTGATTGGCGACGCTGTTGTCACGTGGCCAATTGCCACGCACACGACGAGGGGACAAAGCGGACACGACGACGACGACGACAGCGCGATCATGGCGACGACGGCGGCGAAGAAGGGTGATTAGTTGGCGACGAAGCGGGGTAGAGGAGAGAACGACGGACAGTGACGGAACGAAACGAAGAGGAACCGAGTCGGAGTACGACGAGGAGGAAAAAGGGGGGGCGGGAGAGGCAGCGAGAAGCGCGTAAGCGACGAGCGCGCGCCGCGGTGTGTGTCGGTCGGTCGGTTGGTCGGTCGGTCGGTCGCCATGCTAGTGGTTAGTTTAGTGAACTAAACATCATGATGTGGCAGAACGTTCGTATGAGCAAAGGCCCGTAGCCACGCCGCGTTAACCGGCGCGCCGTCGTTATGTTATTCACAGTAACACTCACGACGTTCGATAAACACGTATAAACACGTAACGCGAAAAGTACAAAAAAAAGTATATATACATACACACGAAACACGTAGAGGGAAAGAGAAAGAGAGAGAGAAACACGTATACGGATTATAGAGTAAAGGAGAAATAAAGTAGAGAAACCCGCATAAACGACGACGACTACGCGACAACGACGACGACGACGACGACAACGATAACGACGACGACGACGAAGACGACAACGACAGCGGTGGCTGCGGCGGTGTTAGCTGTGGTGGTGGTGATTGTTCTCTTGTAGTGGTAGTAGTGGTGGTGGTTGTTGTTCGGTGCGAGCGAAACCGCGCGCGGCGCGACGTTAGGCCCGATGTAAATCAAAGTTGCCGAATCGAGCGTACGTCGTACAGTGAGCATCGCCGCGGCACGCGCCGCGAGTGACGAGTGCCAACGGTCAACCTCCATAGCGCGGCAGGAGAGACGTTTGCGAGACGTATACACGGTACGGAAGCATTTGTAGAATCCTGCCGTATAGTCGAACGGGGAAACAGAGAGAGAGAGAGAAAGAACGAGAGAAAAAGAGAGAGAGCGGGAGAAAATCGGAGCGTCTGAACGTGTGTGTGTGTGTGTGTGTGTGTGTGTGTGTGTGTGTGTGTGTGTGTGTGTG